TCTAACGGTTGGTGTGTACGGAATCGTTGACGCGAAAGGTATGTACGGAGAATATTGTGGTATTGACTGAGGTACCGTCATCATGACGCAGCTATCCTCCATCTGATTATGAATTGGGAAATATTCTTGTTCGCTTGATGTTCGATTGAAACAAGGCCTTCGTCTTTCCCATCCTGATGAAGAAGACATAGATAACTGAACATGTATCCTTTCCACCTCTCTTGCGATGTCCTCATATTTGCGTTTAACGTGTTGTGGTTCTCGCTTCCAAGCTTTAGCGGCCATTCTGGATACTTCCCTCATGGAGAGTCTAAATCCTTGATTTTGTAATTCTTTGGCGTATTCATTTCGATAAATCAAAAATTTATTTGTGGCCCTAGATAGAAGGTCACCATTCCTATTCCTTCTAATAAGATCAGCTGGGTTTATATTAGGAGGAAATGGTACGTCAACTGGCAAATTTGGATTAGGAACGGGAGAACGAAGGGTTTGTGCTGGTGATGTGGCGATTTCCGACTCATCGATAAAAATCCATTCATGAGCAACCCCAGTTCCTCCAGTAGAATTATTAACAGTCATGATTATTGATAAAATAAAGTATGATAATAATGATTTATAGTAGTAAAAGAGAAGATATTGGGGTGAAAAAAATGCAGTGGCTTTTTTTTTTTTTATTTTCTTAAATTTTGAATGAGATTTTATTAATGACACCAGCTGAGGTGGAAATTAAAATAAAAAAACCTCACGACGTAACTTGACTATTATTATTTTTTTTTTTTTGTAATTTTGCCTATTCCAAAATTTTAATCGATGGAAAAAAAGTTCCAAGTTATATATATATCAAATTTGGTCTCATGATCCATCATGTGGGAAAAAAAAGCACACATATAACTTGATAATCAATTAAGCTTTAACGAGGTATAGTATCAAAGTCGAATTTGGATAAACCGAAAACCAAAAGATCCGACAAATTTGATCGGAAATTTACATTTAATTTCACCTAGTAATAATAAATAATTTTCAATCAACATGTGAGGCATATATAAGACGTCAGTTTAGAGATTTACTGATAAACTATTAAAAGCGAGTTTATTTCTGGGGAGGATATAAATAAATAAAGTTCCAAAATTGATTAATTAAAATCATGATAATTTTTTTTTTTTTTTTTGTTATTATCAAATCTTTTAAAGTTGGTCAATTGTGATCCATATCTGGCGTATCCCAAAACGTGCGTTTTTCTAAAATGGCAATTTTTAGTTAAGCTTAATTATCACTCCATTCCTTCAAACATAATATTTTTTATGAAAAAAAAAAAAGGAAAAAAAGAAGACTTTGTTGGATTTGGAAGAAAAAAATCATAATTCCATATTTCGAATTCCCAAAGAAGTCTATTACCTAATATAGTATAAATTAAAATTGATTATGTCCTTCAAAAGGTACCTTAAAGATATATACAAAAGATGCAAGTTCGTTTTGATCTTCGTTTGATTAAAATTTTGACAACTTGACGTGAATATCTTGAATGAACAGAGAAATTAATCAACGTTACGAAACATTCTTTATCATCCTAAAACATTTCGTTCTTCTTCATCGATCCGTGAATAGAAAGAAGCCAACTTTAGCCTTCTTAATAAATATACATTAATTATTCAAATAATGAATAGTCAATGCGTAGTCACATAAGTCACATAATATAAATCTTTGGCAAGTCAAATCATTAGGATTTTTACACACGTATTTTAAAACACATGAACAAATTTCTATTAAATTTATTCGATTTGCAATTCACGTTTCATCATCAAAAAGTCGGAGGTTGAGTTCTAATTTAAGGTCAAAAAAATCTTGCAAATCGTAATTTTATGTCTCACAGATTTACTATAAGTGAAAAATTCAAGCAAGCATGTGCATGATTTAGAATAAGAAATCCTAAGATCTGAACATCAAGAAAATGCTTTTGTCAATACATGCGATTTTTTCAATAAATTGTCATATATAGTTAAAATGTCACGTTGTATATGTGAACCGCTTCTTTGGAAACGGGTGATTTTAGCGAATCGGTTAAGTTTTTCTATTTTTTTTTTTTTTTTCATGGAAATGATCTCGGATATGACGTGAGTAAATAATCTAAGGTTTTAAAGATCATTTTTTAAGGTCTACATGAAACTGCAAGGGGCTTCTCGGCCAGAATATATCATGCAACCATACTAATTTTAAAGTACAAGTAATCCAAATACCGGAAATATATCATGCAACCCATAGTAATTTTAAAGTGCAAATAATTCAAATATTACGAAAATATTCTACCTCTAGATTTATTAGTAAAATTTTAGGACTTATTTCATTTCCACTTTTTTTTTTGATATATTATATTTTGGCAACTGAAATAAATTATTAAAAGCGTCAATTATTGGAATATTTGAAAATGATATTTAACCTCCAATTACCATTAGAAGTGATAAAGTTAATGTATTGATATGTATTGAAATGTATTGGCTAAAAACCAGCCCTCATTCTTCTAGTCTTCTAGGCATCATGTTCGATTTCGGAATTTCGGAAACCCCCATCTTTTGTAAAAATTGATTTCCATGTATGTTTACTAAATTTAACAAATGAGGATTCTTTACTTTTATCATTCCTTTTTTTTAAAGTAACAATTAAAATCTCGTTTGTTCTTTTTTCCATAAGATTGATCAAGTGGAAATTGTCATTGTAATGTATTATATCATCCCCTATGTCAATCAAAATTTTTAATATTAAATAATTAAGCCAATTCGGAATTATTTATTATACACGTGATCTTTTAATTTATATTTCAATAATTACAAAGTATTACAAAAGTATTACAAGTTTCCAAAAAAAAGAAATGAAAAATTCTATGATTATTTACAAAAAAAAAAATAAATAAATAAATAAAATCAATACGTTCTTAAATTACAAATCTTAAAAAATGATGGATGAAAGAATTAAGTTCGTTAAAAATTACAATGTTATATAATGCATATTGTGATGTTTTTTTTTTTTAAAAAAAAAAAGCTTAATTAATTGTGAAAGAAAATGATAAATGCTTAACTTATTAATTTAAAAATGAAGAGTTGAAAAAATGAAATTTTTTTGTTGATATAAAGAAAAAAATAAATAATCGAGAAATTATATAATCGTCCGCTATTGCCAATGATGTTTAAATTTGCCAATGTGTTTCGTATCGGTTTTTTTTTAAAAAAAAAGGGAGGGTCATCCCTGACAACAGAAATCCATGTCGTTGGTATGAGCTTCTCCTTTATTCTTGGTAAAAAATTTTCGAATTTTCTAAATTTTTTTTTTTTTTAAAAAAAAATTGGATCAATTTTTCGATAAATTAACAAAAAAAAAAAAAAATTTTTTTTAAACTCACTTTAAGTAAACTATTTCTCTTTTTAGAGATCTTTTTAATAATCCTTTTTCTTAAATTTGGCCTTTTTTCTCTTATGGAAACGGCCATGCGTTCGCTTGCACACCATATAATAATAAATTCTTCTTCAAGATCTAAATCAGTTAATTTGAAGTAAACTGATTGTCTAAAGTATGAGATCCTTTTAAACATTTTGTACGGTTTTAGGATTATTTTAAAGTGTTTGAAGGGTTACACCGTTAAAAGGTGCAACTTTACTTTTAAACCGGTATATATATATATATATTACCAATTGTTTTTGTTTTTTTAAGAAAATGTTGTAATGAACAAAAAAGAAATTAAAATAAAAGACTGAATTCTTGAGGAACGTTATTTATACATTTCTTTTACCCCACATATTTCCTCTTTTATTCATGAGAATTAATGACACATTCCGATTGTAATTTTCCAAGTTCGGCGTAATCAAGAGGTGATTGATAAATTTAGGTATTATAATAAGAGATAATGTCTAAGATACTGAAATGGTCGGTAGAAAATTAGAAAATAATTTTTTGGTTGGAAGATTTTTTTCTATTTCCCAATAGTCGGTCGATCCCAGTTAAGGATTTAGGTTTCTTTGTTAAATTTGTTTCTTGCAACATTTTATGAAACATCTGAATGACGAAATATTTTCTTTTGTTAAACCATGTTTTTTTTTGAAATAACAATGGCATTTTTTGTAAGACACACAATAAGGTCATCGTTAATTTCTTCACGTGATTGCAAACATAATAATCCTTTTCCAGGTTGATTGTCACAAGTGCTGGTTACAAAGAAAATGACCCCTAAAATGCTACAAATTATTAATAGTAAAGGATCCAACTTGGGATCATGTGATCCTCGTTCGAAAAGGATAGTGGACGATAATTTTCGCACGGACATGAGCAAAAAGATGCATATGCCCTGAAAATTAATGACAAAAAAAAAAGAAAACTCTCGTGGCTAACGTGGATATTCAATGAAATTGTTAATAATAAAATTTGGAAAAAAAAATAATAATGACAAATAATTATTTTGGTTGTTAAGCACATGCATTGTTGTTTGAAACTTGATTTATCTGACATTGTTACTTGTTTTGTGTAAGAAAACCGAAAAATATTTTTAATTTTTTTTTTTTGGCACCTTTTCAGGATTAGTTAGGTCTTCTTTGTATATGTTTGTATATGGGCTCTCGTGTTACACGGAAATCAAACGCATGCAACTCCTACGTTATGCATTCTGGTGCCGTTTTAAGAAAGTAAACAATCAAAAACGTTTCTTTGTCTGAGACACAAGCCACAGTACTAACACGGGAAGTGGCAGATTTGTGGCTATTTCACAGCCACCAAGCTCGGGTTAGGAAATTGATACATTCTATTACTTTCCAACCCTAACGCGAAAGCTATTTAAGCGTATTCAAAAAAAATAAAAGTATTTATTAAGAAATTTTGTTGGATCATAAATATTTGACATGTTACTTATTTACAAGAAAGGTAATTTTAATCATCCTAAGATAGGAGAGGTCTCAATGACAAAAATTTTTTTCTTCATTGTAGGATTGTAATCTTGCCAAAAAAATAAAGATATTATTAAATTAAAATCGAAAATCATCAAAGGAAAATTCACTGTTATCGAAAGGTTGTTCCGTTGAATAAATTAAAGTTTGGAGTGCATAAGAAGGTGTTTCGTTATATAATAAATCGTTTCCAACAGTTTCGATATTGTTGTTAACATAATTATCCATTGGCCTCAATAAAGACGAATTTACAGGTTGATTATCGTGAAAATGATTTGAAAAAGTCGGATCTTGTATATAGAATTGTTGATTATCTACGTGTAAGTTTGCTGAAGGAAAGGACTGGTTTACGTAATAATATTGTGATGAAATGGAGTCGGACGTTGAAGGAGTTGAAGGAGTCGATGGAGGAGAACAGCTCTGGGAGGAATTAACGATATAAGGGGCGGCCAATAATCTTGCGGTATTAAGATGATTTCTCAAATTATCTAATTTTGCTTGATGATCTTCTAAATGAAATCTTGCAATCATCGATGCAAATTGTTGATAGTCATCTTTAAGTTTCTCGTTTTCTTTTAACCATAAAGCTGAAGCCCAACGAGAGATTAATGTCATTTTAAACTTTTGAGAGTTTGCATTTAATAGTTTTTGATATACCTTGCGATAAATCATGAAACCATTACAAGACTTACGACTATTTGGTTTTGGAAGAAATTCTGTCGGGTCTAAAGTTCGTGGATCAGGGATAGAAATTTCTGGAGCGGGTAATTCGTCTAATTTATTATCATCATCTGAAAACTTTGCTTGTGAGCTCATCGTTGAAAAATCGAGTTTTTATGTAAATTTATTATTTATTTTATTTTTAATTTTTAATTTTTTCGAAGAAAAACAGTTCTTTTATGTAAATATATTTTTTTATTATGATAATCGTATCGTATCGTTATCGCGTTTTTGTTTTCGCGTTTATAAAAGTCGGCGCCAAAGCATTTTTCCTAACAAAGAAAACAAAAACAAAATGTCGTGTTTAATTTATTAATCAATATAAGAAAAAGAAAGGTTGGTAAATATTAAATATGATATAAATAACTGAGAATTTACCTTTTTTTTCCATATAGAGACATCTTTGGAGGGAGATTCTTTCTTGTTTTATCTTTCTTTTATTGCAAAAATATGTCGGAAATAACTGATTAATTGAGAACGCGATGATGCGTATATTTTAGGGTCTACAAGATTTTTTAACCCTTTTTTAGAAGCTTAAGTTCATTGTATTTATAGTTGTTTCTTTAAAAACATGTAACAGATATATTATTTAATTCGGCTCCAAGGTTAACCTATACATTCTAATAATTTGACTCGAAAGGAAAACGTCCATTCGGATTTGTTTTTGAACCTAATACGTCATAATATAAATTTTGTAAGATGAAATGATTTTTTTAAAGAAAACAGTAATTTTTTTTAAAAAAGAAGGAAAAAAAAATAGAATTCATAAAGAAACTATTGAATTTAAATATAATATATGCTGTGAAAATTGATTTTAAATTTGATGTTCTTTCCTTTTAGATTGTCCTATTTTGTTATCTGTTTCTTATGACTTTTTGTGTAATTCTTCTGGAAAATTTAGATTTACTTAAGGGGCTTGTTTGTTTAAAGGTACTAGATTTTATTTGTTTACCTTTTTTATTTTTAATAGAACCCAAAAAAAAATATGATATAAATAATAAATAAATATAGGTTTTCCCCCCCCCCCCCCCGATCTCGATATTATTTATCACGTGAACGTGTATCACAGGAATCGACGTTTCAGGTGAAAGGACCAATAAGCGAAGTAATTGAGCTTGAGAGTTAATTGGCCTTACAATGAATATACAAAAAATTTTTTTTAATGTAATAAGAAAAAATTTTTCCTTTTTGAATTGCATAATTTATTAATAGTAATTTAACATTAAGAAAAGAACCAATCAAGGTAGTACCTACCAATGAATTGTATAACAATATAGAAGGTTCTTTTTTCCTTTTTTTTAGAAAAAAAAAGGAACTAAACAATGATTAAAAATTGGAACCTCATACAGTAGAATTCAAATGAATTGCGCTTTTAAGATAATCTCGTAGAACTTGCTTCTTTTCCAAAAAAGACTTTCCTTTATGAATTCCTTTGTATGATAGATTTATCAAAATGATGTAAGGGGCATTTCAATATAATTTAACTTGATGCTATCACCTTGTATCATACATATCATCAAAATACCATCTGATTAGTGATGGTTTCATTCTTTTAAACCCAAAAATTTTACGTGATATAATGGAATTTGGAAACAATTGTAATTGCTAAATCGTTACTCGTTTACTTTTAACCATTTTTATCATTCTATTGGAAAAAAATTAATATGCAGCTAAATGAAGCCGACAAACGATTTTAGTTAAATTGAACATTACACACCCATTCATGTAAAGCATTTTCAATTATGATGTTACGGGTAACTCTTTTTTTTTTTTTTTTTTTTTTTTTTGCGCGCGTATATGATCATTTCATTTTATAAATGCAATGCAGATTTTTATATCGGACATTCAACTCCTGAATATCAGGCTTTAAGCTGACTAATTTACGTGTTTATGATATTTTAGGATTTACTGAAATTGGCAGTTTCAGTTCTTATTCGTTCTTGTGTAAATAAATAAAAATAAATAAGGAGATTAATAAACGAAATTTCATCATTTGATTGATCATGTTTATACATGCAAACAAAAAGTCGCGTTACTTGTTATTTTTATTTATATTTGAATTGTAAGTTACATGTTTTTTTAAAGAATTGGGCGTTTCTCGCGTACTTATCTGAAACATCCTATTCTACAATTGTCTTGAATTGATCTTTATATTGACGCCAATCCATTTATGGGGAGAAACTGAGATTGTCATAACGCACCTGACTTTTATCTCGTACTTCACCGGAACGCGAAACATGTTATCGATCTTGGAAAAAGAAAAAAAAAACTTTTTTTATATACATATGCAATATGTAGGCACGCGTTACAATCATTTATAATTGTTCTTAATCACTTATGTTTTCACAAGTGTGAACATTATTAATGAATGAGTAAATAAGGTAAAGACGGTTTACGTAATTTATTTATTTTTTTTATTTTTACGAATGCGGAAACCAGATTAGACATCTGATTTCACGTTAAAATCCTGAAATTGCGCTAGAAATGGAAAAGGTTGAAATTTCCAATCACAAATAAATATTACTTTCATGGTGACATGAAAGAATTAGTACAGAGGTAGCTTAGCTTGAACTACATATGAGCCCTAAGAGAGGGAACTTTTTTTGACATGTGGCGCAGCAACCAAGGAGACCATATTTTTTACTTTTTTATTTTTTTTTTTGAAAAGGACCCACTTTTGATCCGATATTTATCCGAATCCATTAAATTGAAACGAACGCGTCGAATTAGATCGAGATTGCCGGAATCAGTAACGTTGTCATGTGATATAGGAAATTGAACTCCACTCCATCACCTTAAATTAGTTAGGATATCCCCAATAAAAGATTATTTATAACTCTGACCGGTGTTTGTTTACCGATAGTCAAAAACTAAGCAAAAAGCTGCCTGGTATCAAAATAATAATAACAAAATAAAAGTATATAAAATAATACCATTTTTAAAACCAAAGATAATAATACTTAATATAACAATAATATCAACCTGAAAATTATTAAAAATGAATGTTTTATTTTAGGAAAGAAACTTTCCCCAAGACAAATAAGTCGAGGAAAACCATAAATGATTTTAAAGAACAATTTGAAACAATTGAAAAAAAGAGGAAATTAGGTGAAACGTTATGAAGTGAGATGACGAATATTAAGTTACATAATTGGCTAAATACCATTACCATTTGTTTGCAGCTCGGGATCCCTGTTATGAGAAGAGTTACTAGATTTAACACTCCAAAATTGCAAAGCCACGGTTCATTCTAATTTTAACAATTTGTATTGGGTTTTTGTCTTTTGGTTTATCGAAAAGCATTATATATATATTGGCTTTAAAAGTGATATTTTGGATACTAATTTGGATCGTTTGCACCAAATTTGTGGAACAATTCCCTTGTATAGCTAATTGTATTAAAATGGGGTATATCCTATGTGATTATTTAGGTTTCATATCACAATCATGTTTTTAAATATTTATTAATATTAATATATAAAAAAAAAAAATAATAAATAAAAAATTTATGATGCATATTTCGGATTTCATCACCGTCCCCTCATTTTTATAGCTAGTATTATTAAAAAGGTTCTTAAAGTTCTTGTTGGATCTGATACAAATGTTTTGAATATAAATATACAAGCTTTTGGCAAAAAAAAAAAAAAAAAAAAGGTTAATCAACACTTTCCCTCAATATCCCAAAAAAAAAAAAAAAAAAAAGGTACTTTTAAATGCCTAGATTTACCGCAGACCATAACGTAACTAGACAAAATGATCAACAAAAGACCGTGACCATTATTGATGAAACGGCAATGGTTTCATCCATGCAAAAAAATAAACAGGTGTTTTCACCAAAACAAACGTTCCCACCCGAACCTTATATTCAAGTACCGTCACCAATCTTTCTTAATATTGAAGAATTCATGCCAAAGAAACCCGGGAATAAGACCTCAAATGCTTTCATTATTTATCGAACGGTGTTTGCAAAGGTTCTTACCGGAAAGGATTTTCAAAATAAGATGACCGACGTTTCTAAATGGGCTTCTATATCATGGAAGAATGAAAAGGCTGATGTTATATCTGCGTATAAAAGGTTTGCAAAAGAGATCCAAACAACCCATAAGAAACGTTCGCAGGAAGCTTTGATATCTCGCAATCGTCGGTTAATTGCTGCAAACACCCCAAGGCGGGGAAATCCAACAATTTCTCCGAGGCACGAGATTCCAACTTATCAACAACATACAAATTTGATTTATGAACAGGGGAATATGAACTTTTCTGAAGCTTTTCAAACGAACCCTTTTACAATTCTTCAAACCTTTCAAAATATTATTCCGGAACCATCAGAAGAGGAATTTCAAGTAAATGATCAATTGAATTCAATGATTACCTTTGAAGAATTTGGCCAATCTCCCGTACCTTCTTCAATTGAGGAAGAATATCCTTTGGAGATATTAGATGAGGATTTTGAGATTCTTAATTTAGAAATTTCTTCTTCTTTTCCAATGCAACCAATGTTAATTTCGTCTCATTCCGAATTCCAAGAACTTTATGAGGGGGGAATTAATGAACCAGGTTGGATTTTAAACTTTAATTAAAAACTTTAAACTCAAAAAGAGGGTTATAATGTTATGAGGACGTTATCGTATATTGGATTTAATGGATTATTTTTTCTTAAAGATATATTCATATGTTTGTTTAATCGATTCGCATGTCACTTTTATTATTATATATTTTTTTTCTCTTAAATTTTGTGTTAATGCAATTTTCTTATCGTTTAATTCGGATTCGAACCCGCTTATTTTATTTTTCTTAAATATTCATATTAATTAACCTTCATGATAAACTTTTTAAAATCGACATAGTTCATCATGAGGTGAAATTTTTTTTTCCTTTAAAAAAAAAAAACCAATTATGCAACATTTTTGAATTTAGAAATTTGATTCCTTAAAAAATATCTATTTTATGATTAAGTTATTATTACTGTATAAGATGTACTGATTTAGATGATGATCTATTTAAGATTATGAATAAATTTCCTAACTTATTCACTTATATGTACAAAAGAATGCCTAATTTAATTTTTTAATTACTTTGAATGATTATTTTAAATATTTCTCAAAGCCAGATTGTTAAATAACCCACGGTGCTACAGAGTATCGTTGCCTTTTGTGACAAGGATTTGATATACTGACGCTACACAAACACGTAAAAAAATTTTCGCGACGTGATTTAAATAAAGATTGTGATTTTGTTTCATATATTAATTATCACCTTTCAGTTCATTATAACATTATGTATTGTAATTAAAAACGAACTTTATTATTAGCTTTCCGGGTAGCTTTGTTAATCTTTTTTTTAATTTTAATTTTTTTTTTCAACAGAGAACGTACGTCGCTTAAAATCTTCTTGATTGATGCATATACTGCAGATAATGCATTTATTTCTTTTTATAAAAAAAAAAATAAAAAAGGTCTGGAAATTGTTCTTAATTAGTTACATTATGATCTACGCGAACTCTTTATAAAAGTTATAAAAGGGCTTATTATTGTTCTGATCTCTATCGCAAGATCAATTCTTCCTCGTTTTTACCTAAAATACAGGGGGGAATACAACTTGTGAGGTTTCTTCGTTTTTAAAACTTTTCGCCTACTGGTTCATCTATAAAAAGACAATGATATAAAATATGATGAACCAAATATCAAATTCCCTTAAATTAAAAATATAAAAAAAAAAATATATAAATTTTTTAAATAAAAAATGAAATTCTTGTAAGAATAAGTTAATAAGATGTTGACTTACGTATACATGGATTCCTTTTAACTTTATTACAAGACTCACCTTTAGTTAATTTAAATTCTGCAATACAAAAAAATATAATTATTTTTTAATTTTCAAATGCATGCTATTTGTATAATCGAATAAAATGAATTCCCATGTTCGATGCCATTTTACACTATATGGGAAAGTTGCCAGTAAAACCAAGTGATGAGATATCCCATATAACAATTACAAAGATCGTAAAGGATTAATTACTTTACTTTACACTCAATGCAAAAAAAAAACCATTCAAAAGAAACCGCTCAGCATAATAAATATTTCTGTTGTGTAAAAAGGGGACAACCCGATAGATACAATTGATTTTCCAAGAAATTACAATTAACATGAATTAATCAATGCCATGAAAAATTACCATATTTGCTAATTTTTGATAGAAATAAGTAAATCATTCGATCAACTCAATGACGATCCAATCACAATCCCATGCATGATCTTTATAGAAATTTCCGAACATCCGATCATTGTTCACCTTTTTTGCTTATTCTCTTGAATCATTTTTTTATCATCATTCATTAAAGTGTGTAATGCGTACATGCGATCACAATCCTTTCATGTATGCATGATCTTATAGATATTTTCGAACATGCGATGATTGTTCACCTTTTTTTGTTTATTTATATATTCTCTTTGAAAAAATTTTTTTATCATCATTTAATAAGCCCGCAGCGAAAAGTTTATAATGAGATGCATGATGCATTAAAATAATGAAATTAATGCGAGTGTTCCAAACATTAGGTTTCTTGTTAAAATACCGATTGGATAAACCAGTTTTTTACGTCAGTTTGTTAATTAGTAACTGAGATAATATGATTATAGAATTTGATCAAATGATTAGAAATTGAATGAGCGACCTTATGCATTTATTCCAAGTTTTGATAACCGCATTTAATCATAATATCTAATGTTCATTATAATTGGTTCTAAACCGAAATAAAATAGAAATATGCATGGTTGCATTACTTGATTGTTTCAAAGTATTCACGAAGTTTAGAAAAATTCATCATTTTTGTCGAAAAGTCTCATATTTGCTGCATTAATAAACAATAAACTTTGTTCTTATGATCTATTCATTTTAAAAGCCATTTCGGGTTAAAAATTATATACTAATATGTAAAACAATCAGTTTAACAATGTCCTTAAAATTAAATTAATCACATAACAACAATTTAAAATTAAACTGCTCAGGAAAGCAGGTGCGTACCCCAAGTGAATGTGATTACGAAGATGGAATTGTTGTGGCATTGTGATTTACATTTTTTGTTGATTGAACTTGATCCGAACTTTCGGTTTATATGATCCAACGTCTCGTCATCAGGCGCAATTTCATTACTCATTATTTAACTTACTTTGACGTGACATGAACATAAATACTCTCTTTGACCAATTTAAAGATAAAAGACTATATAAGATTCATTTTTCCTGAGATCAGTTTGCCTTCTAAGAATTTTCTATTGAAATTGATGTATTTTATTCTTCTATTAACTCTGACAAATTTTGTATTCTTTATGCAATAGTTTGCTTTTTCCAATAAAAATAAAATACAATCAATTTCCATTCCGATGACAATAAAGTAGACCCAGACTAATTTATTCATTTAAATTTTTATTAATCTAATCCTGGTGAAATGATCGATTGTATAACTTACTGTATAAATTAGTAAATTAATCAAGGGTTGAAAATAGGATATTCGCAAATAAATGAAATAAATAAAATTAACATATTAGAATCTACGGGTTTGGTAGAAGTTCAAATCCCGAAGGGTCATAATCCCGAATATTATTGTTATGAAATATTAAATATCAAGTATATTTTAAGAGTTCTATCACGAGATTAACGAGTTTTTTTAAAATTTTTGCTTTTAAAATTTAGCAAAAAATCTTTAACATGACCACTTTTAAAATATTTTTGTCAACCATCGATAAAATCGATGAAAATTCAATGCATTATCTCATCCAAAAAAGTTTAAAAATCATTCATAAAAATTTAATAATGTCGTGGGATACAAATCGAATATTGCAATTAGCAAACTATAATTTTAAAATTATGATATTCGGGATTATGGCCATTCAGGGTTCGGGATTATGATCATTCGGGATTTTGATCCTTCGGGATGATTGTCATTCCGGATTATGACTTCGGGATTTTAATCTTCAGCGGCTCCCGAATCTACGATTATCGTGCTCATCGTTTTTACATATATTTACATATTTACAACAGAGATCGTTTTTAAAAGATATCGAGAATTTTATTTATGTAACGATCATACCAAAAATGCGAATTACCCAAGTACTTAAAGATAGAGTGGAAGGATAATTTACACCAATGCTTTCCTTAAAATATATGATATATATATATACATATAACGACCGCAGGAGGATAAAAAAAATTTTTTTTTCGACGAATTGTTCATTCGAAAAGGCATATTCGAATATACAAAATTTATATTTATAATTTGATATTCTAATTTTCAAACCTCTATTTGAAAATCACATTTGGGATAGGCTGATTATGGGAGGTATGCTATTAAGAATCATGTTCGGATCATATGGGTCGTATGCTATTTATAAGACATAGTAATTCATATTATGATTTACTATGTCTTATAAATAGCATACGACCCATATGATACATTAAAATTTTTAATTTTATACCAAAATTTGTTATTTGATTTACATTTAATTTATCTAACAAATTTGTTATTTGATTTACATTTAATTTATCTAACAAATTTGGTATTTAAATTAATATAAAAAATTTAAAATAATTTCGAGCTTTTTTTATTTAATATAACAAATTGTTGTATTAGCGGATAGTATGATAGATAAAGATCTGCAGATTTGAAAAGTTTAAGATATTATATAATGAATGACAAAGATTTAATAAATTATCTTTCGTAGTGCTGTAGTGAGTTCGGGTATCCGGATAAACGGATAACGGATATCCGAAGTACAATTTTAAGTATATTAGGTCTGATTGCTATATATAATACTGAAGTAAATATTTGTTATTAAATCATCAACTATGCGAAGAATCTTTATTACAAATTACAAATAATTTATGTTCAAATATTTATTCGTAACCTTAAATTACGGATCTAAACTCTGAATTGTATAGATTCCACTGTCTAGACCATTCAGGATGCACAGATAAAAAAAATGATAAATAAAGTTTAATGTGACGCAGCAGAAATAATTTTAATTACAAATCATTTATTATAAAAAAGGAAATCGAACCGCAAAAAAGATTTTTACATAAATTTTTCTTTTTTTTTCTTTTTTCTTTTTATTAAAGTTTTTCTTACTCGTAAAACTCAATTATGTTAAGGATAAGAAACTTTGTAATTCCTGCGTCAAACAATCGTAAAGTTCCCGGAAAGAACAATACACAATTAAGATTATCAGTCAATTGTTATGAAAACTTTAGAAATGACCGTGTTAATAATAATAATGAAGGAATTAATATGATTTTATCTCATGCCAATGGGTTTCATAAAGAAATTTGGGAGCCCATTATTAGATCACTGTTTAATAATAACAGGTTAAATATTAATAAAATTTTCGCTTTAGATTGTTCTAATCATGGTGAAAGTGCTACATTAAATGAAACCATTTTACCTGATACTTGTAAGTTTTAAAAACTATATTTATATATAAAATGAACATTTCGTTTGTAAATTAAGTATTTTCTTTTTTGACAAGTTCAATGGTGGGATTATGGTCATGATATCCTTCAAGTCATTGATCACGCTCAAATCAGAAAACCAATAGTCGGCATTGGTCATTCATTAGGTGGAACCGCGACGTAAGCAACAGAATTTGTCTTTAAAAATTTTCTTTCAAATCAAAAGGGAAAATTCACCGCCCATTTTATGTGCAGGCTTATTGCGGAATTAATTAGGCCTGGTACTTTCTCGTGTATTGTTGCTATTGATCCAACATTAACTCCAGCTATTTTAAAATTTGATCAGTCTTCATTAACTTTAAAAAGAAATGATTCCTGGGGAAATAGGTAATGACTTTGGTTTTCACGTATTTTTAATTTTAATTGACTTTACCATTTTGATTTGGTATAATCATATTAGAGAAGCTGCGAAAGAATCATTTCTTAAACGCTCATTTTTCAAAAGGTGGGATTCTGAAGTATTGGATTTCTACGTTGTAAGTTCAATTTAGGTTTTTAGGTTTTCGTGTACATTTTTTCAATCTACATTCGATATATCTTTCTTTCATTTACAGGAATTTGGATTACGCGATTTGCATAATGGACAAGTCGCGCTCAAATGTCCCAAGTTACAAGAATACGTATGTTTATTACGCCATGTGATCATGTGACACATATGTCAGAACCTTAATCGTCCCTTTTTGTTTTTTTCGTAATTAGTACACATTTTCGCATGATGTTCATGGGATATTTAAAGCATTTGATCGATTACACGAAATCGAATGTCCAATATTATTTATAACCGGTGAAAATTCCGAAATTAAGTAAGTACACAAATAAAAAAACAATTTTTTTTCTAGTCCGCTTTTGCTTATGGTGATACCATTCTTTTTAAGCTCAAAAGAGTGGGCTTCACTTAAACAATCACGAACTCAACGCGGTGAATGGCATGAAATTTCTGATTGTGGTCATTTGGTAAGAGAATTTTTACTCGGTTTGATTTATTAATTTTATTTATTTTTAAAATATATATTTGATCGTTTTCTTGTAGGTGATAATGGAAAAACCAGAATTGACGATCTCTCCTATCGAATCGTTCGTTCATAAGCATCTGGTTGAATTAAAGGACATTCCAACAATGCCTAATAATCCATCTAGAATTGATGAATATACAGGGTTTATAATCCCTTCTAAGTTATAATTAAAAAATTAAACCGTTTTTATCAGGACCGTATTTAATAAACTAAGGAAAATAAACAAATGTACTTTTGAACCCAACTACAGAAATTTCTATTGAGCTTTAGAAGCGGCAGCTTCTCTTTCTCGTTTTCTCAATGCTCTTTTTCTGATATCTTCGTTTATAGATAATCCATTATTTACCCAGAAACTCTGATTAAAAGTATTTGTAATCAACCAATTAGCTAAAGCATGTGATGGATATACGCAGGAACTATATGGAACATTTGATGCTCCTCCTGACACTCCAATTTTGGACAATATTGATTTAACACATGGCTTTGGTTGTGGAACTAACCATGATGATTTTCTAATCTTTGACATGGCAGATACCTAATATAATCAGAATTAAATCATCAAATTTTTTTTCTTTTTTTTTTTTTTTTAAAAAAAAAAAAGGTATATACATATGCTTACCACAAAGTACAGGTTGACATTTTCAACAACGATTCCTTTAGAATTTAATTCAGTGCCCAAAGCTGCTGAAAAAGTGCTCATAAAGGCTTTAGAAGCAGAATAAACTGATAAATAAGGAGTAGGGACCATTCCAGAAAATGATCCAACATTAATTATAAGTCCTCTATTACTTGATATCATTCTGGGTAAAACTATTTTGGTTATTCTTAAAAATCCTGCAACGTTAACTTCAACAATGTTATTAATAACTTCATCAGTTTCCAATATAAATGGTGTTGGAATTTCATGATTTGTTGCTACATTATTTATTAATACTCCAACATTCAACTTTCCGATTATTTCCTTAAGGTTTTCGTAATCTTTTTTATCTCCTTTGGCAAAATCCATTGCATATGTTTTGCTTTCGACTTGATATTTACTTTCTATAAATATTTAAGGAGAAAAAAAATTTATTTTTTTTTTAAAAAATATATTCAAATGTAGTAAAAAGAGAAGAGGAAAATCAAACGGATTTATTTTATCATCAAATATATATTATATTTATATATATTTAGCATGTTAAATAATTTCCTTCCTCCCTTTTTATCATGAAGAACGCATATATTGTTGATACGCACCAATATCATTGCTTAAATTCTGTAATTTCAATTCAGTGCGAGATATCAAAAGAACGTTGAATTTCGCTGCCGCCAATTGGCAAGCAAATTCTTTACCGATACCATCTGATGCTCCAGTTATTACTTTTTAATCAAAGATTTTTTAATTTGGGATCAATATTAAATCAAAACCAACATAATATAAATATATTTATTACCTGCCCAAGCACCAGTGTCAGCACCAAATTGCTTTAACTAAAATCAGTAAAAATAATAAATATCATTGGGTAATTAGATTATTTATCCACTTTACTTACACTTTTTCCAGGTCGAAGATAAAGGTCAAACAATAATTTCCAGAAACTTAGTGCTTTCGTTACGGCAACGAATGCTCCGACAATTGAAAAGAAGGCGAGAAAAATCGATAAATCATGCTCTAAAAAAAAAAATTTGCAAAGATTAATATAAACAAGCATAAAAAAATTTATTATTATTTACAAACCTTGAATTATTTGAACAAATTTTTCGGAAAAGGAAGACATTTTAATTAGTATTTTTGAATGTTGCAACGAAAAAAAAAATTTTATAGATAATTTGCTTTTGTATATATCAGGTTTATCAAGTTTCAACAGGTTTTGGGGATAATTAAAAGTTTATCTTGATAGTCAATTTGTTGTCAACAGACACATGAAATCATGTTAAATTTTATTATTGATTAAATTGAGCCGAGTCTCTTTCTAAATATCTACGAAATACATTTTTTTTTTATTTTTATTATTTTTATTTTTTTAGAAAGAGATTCGTCAAGTGCCAAACAATTTTACATAAAAAAAAATTATTACAAAGGTCTAAACACCTTCCCGCATATTTGTTTCATTGTTGAATACAAAATTTCATACAACTAGGAGAAATTTCTAGTTGGTTTTCATCAGGCAAAGAAGGTAAAGATGAAGGAGAAGATTCTGGAGTGTTTAGGTATTTACCTAATTTGTTCGCATTCTTCTTTCCATTTGAACTATTTTTCAGATTTGAATAAGTACGAGAGGAAGTTGTGTTGTCAGACCGACGAATGTATTCTCGAACTTTATTCTTACGATATTCTTCCTTTGCTCCTTTTAATATTGTTTTCCTTTGAAGGTTAAAATTTCATTATATAATGAAGATAGATAAGTGTTACACGCAATAATACAATCCTAAAATTTCAAAAAGTATACCTGATATTCTTCCAACTGTCAACAATTTTCTCAGTAGTTACACATTTGAGCAATTGATGATCTGATAAATTTTTCTTACAAACCGGGCAATTTCGTTCAATAGCTAAAGATCTCAATATACAAAAAGAACAATAAGTATGTCCACAATCTCCTATCTTTGGTGTATTAAAAAATTCTTTGCATATCGGACATCTAGAAATTGTATCGAGTAGTCGTAAAGATTTTTGCGGAAAATCCGTCGGATCTGTCATGGACGACAAGTAACTATCGGAAATATAACTCGTTGTCACGGAAGAAGATGATGGTGTCGACATCTTGTGTATTTATGGGTTAATGAGGTTAATGAGTCAATCAATATCTAAAAAGTAACTCGGAGAAAAAAAATTTTTTTTTTTAAAATGAAAACTGAAAATTCTCAAGATAGGCAAGAGAAACCAAGAAGACGCGTAAAATAGGTCAGCATTTACAATTTTATATTGATTTATCTGTGATCAAAGTTTAAGTGCACGTGACATAGTTACCACGTGCTGAGTCACATGGGTTTAAAACAAGTTATTAACTAGTCGAAATAATATGTTTTGATAAAAAAAAAAATCTTCGGTAGTTTTATTTTTTTTCTTTGCATTTCGGAGCTTTCTCTTATATACGTCATGTGATTTATTTGCTATAAAGGATCTTCTTGTGCACAACGAAATTTAGAGAACTTACGTATTTGTTGATATAATTCACGTGTGAGTTTACCCAAATTTGAAATAAGTTATTGATTACATAGTTAGACAAAATTTTTCTAATCGACCTTTTTTTTTTTTTTCCACAGCATCTAAATAAATTATTTAAATTATTCTCCTGGACAAATAAGTTCGTACAACTTTTTTGCTTATTTGTTTACAACTTTTTTTTTTTTTTTACAATTTTTTTGTTATTTATAATTTCGAAAGGAATTAATAAACAATTCTGCACGATATTTTCTTAAAAGGTGAAAAACATGTCCAATTCTCAATTAAATTCCAATCAAGTTCTATTATCAGCTGCTGGCGTTGATATTTCACGTTTAAACCAAGGAATTATTAACCAAAGTTTTCTTCCGGCTTCACAAACTGCTAATACGTTTCCTGTTGCAACAAATATGACTTTAAACCAAAATTTATTACCTCCACAAATTAATTCTTTATCTTTACCTCCGCAACCAAATATCAACCAAGAAATATCTATAACCCCTAATCAACCTACTACAACTGGTACAATATTTTTACCGAATGGGACCATGATAAATCAAAATTTGGCGACAGCGGCAGCAAATTATGCGGCTTATTGGCAATCAATGAATTTGTTAGATCCATTAAGTAATGCCGCGCCTAATCAGATTCGACCGGAAGTTCGGCAAGATATAAGGTCCTTTCATTCAAATGAGTTCAATGAAGGAAATAATCACAAAGACTACTCACAAAATTGGAGTGAATGTGGTTATCCTTTAAATAATAGGGAGGTGTGTCATGGAAATCAAAATTTTTATAAAGAATCCAATTGTCAAGACAATTATCATGAACAAAATTGGCGAGACAATCATTATAAAGAACAGGGTTGGCGAGAAGATCATGATTTTGATCGTGATCATGTTGATCCTAAATTAAATCGACAAAATGTCAAAGAGAGGAATAATTGTCGTTATCCTTCCCGTCCCGTTATTGAGTATCCATTATCTCGTTGTCTTCCATCATGCGAAGAGATCCCTGATGCTACGGCACGTCTTACCGAAACAATTCGCCTTTGGTGGATTGATAATGAAGGAACTGCTCTTAAAGAATTAGAAAAATTGGGTCTTCAGCCACAACTTGATTTGCAACAATGGAGAACAATTGCATTAAACCAATATGTAAATTTGGAACTTTTTGTCAACATTAGAAATATTTTGCAATGGTTGAAAGCCTTCACCATTTATACCGAAGCAGTTTTAACATTGTATCCTCACCGTCGTGAAGAACTTGATACTTACGAAAGTCATATTGTTGAAAAGAGTGATAAGTATCCTTTTGAGATTGTTTTTAAATATGATCAAGAAAGAAGAATGCAATTATGTGATAATCGACAATTGACATTGTTAATGTCTGCTCTAGAAACGGAGAATCGATATTTCTATCCTATTGTTGAACACCGAACAGGTTTTATTAATCTTAAGAAGGATCGTTGGGATCAAATCGCTTACGATGAAAGAGGCAAAGAAATATGCAACAAATATAATTTCGAACGATGTAATTATCCTTATTGTAAACGATCTCATGTCTGTATCGTTGAAAAATGCGGTGGGTTACATCCTGGAAGATTGTGTCCCACGAAAAAATCAGGTTCAAACACAAAGTTTGGTAGAAGACAGAATATCATGAGTAGATTAGGTTCAAATACGAGTCCAAATAATAATTATTTTAAAGGGAGTAAATACGTTAATAAGAGTCGTCGTAATAGCTTTACTCAAGGTAATAATCAATATAACAGAGCCACCAATTTCAGGGGTAATGGTAGGGAGATCTTTGACGTTAATAATGACGCCGAAGTCGACAAATGTGATCAAGTCAGGGAAGATATCGAAGTACATAAATTCCTTGAACAAGAAATGGAACGGATTAAAGAGAATGAGATCAAAAAATTCAAAGATAAAGAAGATACTGATAAAGTCAAGCGAATAGATACTGAAAATAATAATATGACAAAATTAAGGATTGAACAAGACAAGGAAATAATGACCAAAACTTCGGATTCAAAAATCGAGGGAGAAGCAATGACAAAAGATGATGAGAAAAAAGAAATTAAAAAAGAAGTAGTATCTACCCAAGAGAAGATTATTACTTAAGGTGAATCGCGTGTATCGTTTTTTAACGTGTTAAATAATATTCGCCGAATCATTCGTAGCGTAAAACGCGAACATTTTTATGTATGTTATAGAAATATTTAGAGTAAAATTGTTCCGATCTTTTTTTTTTTTTTTAAAAAAAAAAAAAAGAAGCCAATTAAGCTTTTATTGCAAAAAAAAAAAGATATAGCTTGTTAAGCTTTCAAAAATTATCATTGTAAAAATTAATTGTAAAAATTAATTAAAAACCACAAAAATTTAAAGTTTTTATAAAAAATTTTATTTAAATAAAAATAAAAATATTAGACAATAATAGTAATTATTAATATGTTAACTTCTTAGATAAAATTAATTCAAGTACAATATTTGTATTACAAAAAAAATATATTTTTTTTATCCAATAATTTTTAAAGCTATCATTAGTAAAAAAAAAATAATTATAATTTATTTACTTAAAGAATTAAATTTATCTAATTTTAAACTTTTATTAAAGATAAAAAAATTGAAATTGTTTTATCTAATGCTAAAAAATCTAAAATTAAATCATTAAATTTTTATTAGTTTTTTTTTTAAAAAGAAGTTATATTTATAGATTTACAACTTTTTTATAAAATAATCTATATATTATAAAATAAAATTTACATAATTTAATTAATTTTTTATTTAAATAAAAAAAAAAAAATATGTATCCCTCACAAAAAAAAATAAAAAATGTATTCAAAATCAAATATTAAATATATAATAAAATAATCAATTTGATTTTTATTTTATAAAATTATAAATATAATTTATATTTTATTTTAAAGTTGTTTATAAATTTGATTAATATATTTATTTTTTAAACATAAGATTATAATATAAAATAATCTTAAATAATAAGAATTGTTATTCAAATTTAATTATACTTTTTAATCAATTGAAATATAAATTTTACATAAATACATTTTTTTTTAATTTTTAATTAAAATACATTATAAAATTTATTATTAATTTATTATTTTTAAATATAACTTTATTAATAATAATTATATTATTAAAATAATTTACAAAATTTTAAATAATATTAAAAGTAAAATTATTAAATTTTAATAAAACTTTATCAAAAAAAAAAATATTATTTTGATTTTAAATTAAGAGATTTTTTTTATGCATCTACATAAAAATAAATAAGTGTATAAAAATTTGAAAATATTATAAAAATCTAAAATTTTACATATAAAAATTATAATAAATTTAATAAAATTTATATAATACATATAATTTTTCTATATGTATCTCAATTAGTGATACCTGACGAAATTACCTTTCTTAATATGACGAAATTGACGAAACCGAAATGACGAAACTAGTTTTTTATT